AGGAGAATCTGGTGGTTCACTGTATCAAAAGCAGCAGACATATCCAGCAAAATAAGTATAGAAGATTTGGAAGCCGCTCTTGCCAGTCTTAGGGCTTCAACAACTGAAAGCAAGGCAGTCTCGGTCGAATGTCCACTTCTGAAGCCAGATTGGTTGCTGTCCAGGAGGTTGTTCTGTGTGAGAAAGGCTGAGACTTGGTTGAACACAACTCGTTCAAGTGTTTTTGCAATAATACATGAATGCAATCATGAGAAACATAATTTCAGAAATGTGTGTCCATACTATTGACCGCAACTGGAAATATTAAAATCGACTTTGCAACTAAAACCACTGGAATTATTTATCAGAGATTAAGATATTTGAGGAAATACCACTAATGCAATACTTTTCAATGCAAAATAAAGTCTCTGACAGTCTTCTTTTTTAAAGCCAATTGTGCAATTCATACTAAATGTGAAAAGACACAGTAAGGCCTTCTGGAGTCAGAGATGCGCCTCAGCAGGTTTTGAAGTTGTAGATGTTCTGCTGTGATATTTTTAGCTCTTACATCCAGCTCGTAATTAATCAACAATGCGTCCTGCTGCAGCGCACCAGCACTCATGTTTATAGTGATCTGTTTCATGCAGGGGGTTTAAATACTTGTATACAAATATTTGGCCAAAAGCATACTTGAGTAAAAGTAAAAATATAACTTTAAAGTGTATTTAAAAAGTAGAATTAATCTAGCCAAAATAAAAACAAGAGAGGAGATTCTTGTTAACTCATTTTGAATAAACTTCTCAATGCAAAGTGAATTATATTGCATAAAATGTTTTGTCTGACAGACATAGAAACAGGGTAAAACTAAAAAAGCAATGATGCAGAGGTCAAAAACATGGTAGAAAATAATCTGAATATAATTAATCAACAATGCGTCCTGCTGCAGCGCACCAGCACTCATGTTCATAGTGATCTGTTTCATGCAGGGGGTTTAAATACTTGTATACAAATATTTGGCCAACAGCATACTTGAGTAAAAGTAAAAATACAACTTTAAAGTGTAGAGTAAAAGTAAAAATATAACTTTAAAGTGTATTTAAAAAGTAGAATTAATCTAGCCAAAATAAAAACAAGAGAGGAGATTCTTGTTAACTCATTTTGAATAAACTTCTCAATGCAAAGTGAATTATATTGCATAAAATGTTTTGTCTGACAGACATAGAAACAGGGTAAAACTAAAAAAGCAATGATGCAGAGGTCAAAAACATGGTAGAAAATAATCTGAATATGTGTGTACTTTTAATTGTAGCTTTTTAAATTAAATGTTTAATTTAGTAAAGTACAAATCCCAACACAATAATACTTAAGTACAGTAATCAAGTAAAATTGATCTGGTGTTTTACGGCCCTGGTTTGATGTGATCTGTGTCTGTCTTCAGGTGACGGAGACGCGGACGGGTCCACTCGGCTGCAGCACGTATGATAATCTGGACTCGGTCAGTTCTGTGCTTCTTCAGAGCCCAGAGAGCAAACTCCATCTGCAGGGTATGTGATTCAAACAATTCACTGTGGTTTGCTTTGTCTAGCCGTCTGCACTGTTGTTCTGCTACAAGCTTGTTAGAGTCAGAAATACCAAAAAATCCGATGAGAATGGAGAATTGATTGTGTACCTGCAGTAGTGATGGATAGGAAGGAATAATACGGAATGTAACAAACTTGAACATAATGACTGGTATGGTTCAGAGAGAAATAAACTCAGATATCATCCTAAAAAACACAGCAGGATGTACGTGTGAACAGAGCTCCTAGAATCACAGATGTTTAACAGTGCTGACAGTTTATCACAGATTTTATTTTTTTTAGGGGGGCTGAGATTGAAAGACAGGGCGACTGAAACCCCCCTAAACAGGGTTTAGTAACACCTAGGATTTGCATAAATGACTTTCAGAAATCCATCATCAATCCAGCTGCTTGTGTGTCAAATTAAAAGCAGACAAAACAAGCGTAGAAATGTTTTCCTCTCAGCATTTACATATGAAAAAAAGATAATTATGTCTTTATAAGTCTTGTCTATCAGAAAACATTTTTTTATTTTTTTTATTTTACTGTGTGCACATCTGCTGCATTGACACATGCTTTAGAGAAGAGAAACACAAATGCACAGCTGCGACGAGATGCGTCTGCAGGGAAAATAAATGCATATGAATCTGTCTGGCTGATAATACTAGAGGTTACACATGATGTGCTCACCAGGGATGGGAATTGCAATTCTGGATCTTTAACATTTACAGCATTTACAGTAATGACTTTAAGAATGGAAGTTCTTTAAAAAAAAATATAT